ATAGTGACCAACTATGTATCACAGTAAACAGCCATTTCTAAGAGACAGGAGCAACCAGAACTGAAACAGGAACTATCACATGGGCAACTAAGAAACTGAAGTATACTGGCTAGGAGAGAGGGGCATTTCCTGTTACACTAGGGGACATCTGAACCTGAATAATTCATCAGCCTTTGCAGTCCGCTGCATCCACCACTCCATTCCACTAGTGTGTTTCTTCATGGAGTATTCTGGAGTCACCAGTAGTCACCATGCTTCTGCAGGTTCAAGCTATCCTCCTACACAGTGAACCAGGGCTCAGGGAAGAAGTGCTACTTGCCACTTCCTTCTGCCCTGAGGTCCTTCTTTTTGCTCTTCCCATGGGCTTCAATTTTCACTGCAGATCTTTGCTTGAATCACTTCAAGATTTGGGGAATCACTTCCCTCATTTCTCTCCTCATGTTGCTATATTCTAGCATCCAGACATGAAATCTTGGAGAGGTTTTTTTTCTCTACTGTTCATCACTCTGCTATCTTCCCGGAAGTCCCAGAAAATATAACATTAAAGCACTACAGTAACATAGTACTTGTTAAAGGCAACACACTCTGATGAATATTCAAATTAGTAGGTAGTTTTATGACAAATAAGATATTTGCATAGCTTCAAAGTATCCTCTCCACAGTCCTACCTTGATAGTTTTAAAATATGTCTACAAATTAATTGAGATTTCTTCTTCCAGAACAGGAAATTGAATTACTCTATTGAGTGTGGGCCAGACTTTAAAACATACTTCTAATGAGATTCTAAGAAATATAATATGAAAGAGGGAAAAAACAACCTGATGATGGAGAAATTTATCAGATACTTTACATCTCATCTAAGTGATCAATTTGATATCACTAGTAATAACTGACATCATGGGACTCTACAGTGAGAAACTCATTATTTCAGTGGCACTCTTCTCCAATAGCCATAACCTCAAATCGTCATGACACACCTATGCCAGGGAAAGCTTTACAACATACCTGACCGGGACTTTCAAAACTGCTAACATCATAAAATTGGAATACTAAGAATCTATTTTAGATTAAAGAAGATGAGGGAAATATAATTACTAAATGTAATGCAGTATTCTGGCTTGGATCATGGAAGAGAAAAGGCTATTAGTGTAAAACTGGAAAAGCCCAAATAACACATTTCTGTGTTATTTTCTTAGGTTTGATTATTGTAACCATTGGGGGAAAGTACATGAAACATCCATCGGGATTTCCTGGTCTACGTTTAAGACATATATCTACATTGAACATTATTTCAAAACAATAAGTTACAAATATAACCTATAAATTGGACATTTTTAAAAGTTATGCCCTGTGTCCTTAATAGGTCAGAGTCTTCTTCCTAAGTTTTGCTTCCTTAGAAATATAATTGAATACATCCAAGATGTGTGTAGAAAATTAAATGTGCAATTTAGGCATCAGTCTGCCACTTCTACTTTAAGAGAATCAGCTATTGTGGCTTTCCTCGTGGTACTTGCCTGTGTCCTCCAGGTTGTATCTGCTGCTTCCTCTTTTACTTGGTCCAAGCTTGCTCTGCAGAGCCAGTTTCTCACTCTTCACTTTTACTTTTCCAAGTAAACTTTGTCACCATTAAAGTAAAGAAGAAGAAAATCATCTCTTCACTTAAAAAGGTGATTTTATCTCACCTCAGACTGCTAATGGAGATTCTTATCAATAATATTTCTCCTTCCATGGCAGGCAGCAGCTCTGTACAGAGCCTCTTCTGAAATGTTCTCAGAATGTCCATGGCCCAAGCTCCTGCCCAATGACTCTCTGCAGCCTCCCAGACCCCATCTGCATCTTTCTTGTCCTGCTGCTCTGCCTCTGTATCCACTTTCTCTGTCTTCACAGTCTCCCAGTAGTGCTGCTTCTACAGATGGTTTCCACAAAATCTGCTCTGTTCTCACTCCACCTCAATGCTCATGTTTCCATACTTGGTTTAAGCCTAGGACCTGCAAATGTTTAAAGTAGGGGGAAGGTATAGGTGGACCCCCTCATACCTCTCATTATAGAAGAGCTCTCTAAGCAGAAAACCACTGGAAAGATGTTTATGCGTGCAGAAAATATCTAAGTTACTGTATCCTTGCTGTTAGGCACTAGCCAGGAAAGGGATACAATGATGAACAAGACAAATGAAGAGATAGTATGAAGCTTGAAGAACTATGCCCTTTCCCTTCACACTCTTGTGAAGCGGGGAGATGAACCACGAAGCCCTCCACAGGCATGGTTGGGATTAGGTTCCATTTTCTAAGATTTAGGTATCATTTCCTGACCTATCAAGAGGCTCCCAACAGTAGTCTAAATGTCTTAGTTACATTTCCTATTGCTGAGACAAAATATTTGACACCCAAATTTAAAGGAGGAAAGGTTTATTTAGCTCACAGTTTATAGAGGTTTCAGTCCATAATCAGCCAGCTCCCAGGCAGGGTGTGTTGGCAGAGGAGAACAGTTTGTAGTGAGCAGACTGTAGCAAAGCAACCATGGAGGGAGGGACGGGGAGTCTTTCCAACACTTATATTTTATGCAGGCTACCTGCCCTAGGGCAGGTGTGGTGCTCATACCCTTAATCCCAGCATTAGACCATAAATTAATCATAGACTCTGCATTCAGCTGTCTCCAAAAGCCTGCCCACATGACTACATGAGGCTTTAGGGCGACATTCATACACAAACCATAACACTAAATAAACAGTTTTAGTAAAACATATGTATTCAAAAATGTTGAAGAGAGGCTGGGGATTACAGCGCCTGCCTGGCAAGTGCAAGGTTGTGAGTTTGATTCCAGGTACCAGAAAAATAACAAAAAAAATGTTGAAGATGAATAGAATCCTGCGAGAAGATTTCCAGGGGGATACTGGCTCTTGAGAGAAGGGTAAGTGCTCTGGCAAAAGGAGGTCCACAGGCAGGACAGTCAGGTAAAGGCCAAGAAAAGACAGAGTCAGAAAGATTCAATGAAGGATGATGGCCAAAGCCAGGGCACCGGAGGATCCAAAAGCAAAGTCCTCATATGGGTGGGACTTTCTTGCCCAGAAATAAGATATTCATACTTCTCTAAAGAATGTCTTTGTTCTGTTACAGTTATAATTGATGACATTTGCTACATATCCTGAGTTCCTATAGGCCCAATCTAAGTCAGACTTCCCTGCTTGGAACCCCATAGGTTGATCTCAATTTGGCTGAGAGGTAGTCATTTTTTTTATGAGTCCCTTTGGCAACCCGTTCAGCCACCCCCACCAGGTTCATTTGCCTGGAGGTTATTTATTTTTGCTTTATAAAAAATATTGCTTTCTGCTCTTACTCTACAATAAAATACCTTTTGTTCAGTGTCCTTTGAACTCTCTACCCTGTATTTCTTTCTAGTTTGTGAGAAGAGCCACATGGTAACAGTTGGAAACCTGGGCCTGCAGAAGTTCACAAAGCCAGGGGCAAACCAGAGGTCTGAAAGAGTGCAGCCCTATTTGTACAAGTGGGTGGAAACATCAGAGAGTAGCAGCTGTTCATTACACTATCTGAAGGAAATATTTGGAGCTCAGAAAAGGGGATGGTAAAATTTGTAACAAATTACCTAAAGAGTTAATCAGACTTTTTTAAAAAAAAACAAAAACAAAAAACCTTCATAAGTTTCTGTGTTTTTTTTTTTAAAGACTTGAGCAAAGGAAAAGCTAAATGCTTTTAAAATTATGGACACGTATCCAGCAGGCTTCTCATTAAAACTGTTCTGTTATCATTGGTTTAGAGTTACATATATTCATAAAAGTTAATTTACTCTAAATTGAGAAGTTCCTTATATCACTGTATGACCTATGCTTAAATTTTAAAATGAGAAACAAGATTCCCCAAGAAAAAAATGATTCTTTCTTCATCAGTTTTTGCTTTGATGTTCCAAAGTTGGATGGCTAAGGATGGATGATATCTTCCCCTAAGTTTGGTTATCCATCCTTATTAAGGACCTGGAGGACCTTTCCTTTAACCTTTATTTTCCTAATGTTTTGCTTAAAATAACAGAGGTGTTGTGTGTGTGTGTGTGTGTGTGTGTGTGTGTATGTGTGTGTGTTGAGTGTAACAACTCATGTCTACTTAAAGAAATTTGTTACATCAAGTAATTTCTTTGCAAAGAAAATCCACTCTCTTGGCATTGCTTTGCTTCATTATTTCCTTTAAATGGTACAGACATCATAAAAGAATACCAGGAAAAAAAGGTCATAAATAATGACAGCTACATCTAACTTTGACACACACAAAAGAACCACACAAGTGTGGGCAGTATAACATACAAGGCAAGAACATGACCTCAGGGGGTTTAGCTTCTAACACCATCTCTGTCACTCACTATTGGTATACTTTGGATAAGTTTCATTTTTTTAAAGAAAATTATTTTTATTAGTATATTTTAGGTATTCATAGGGGAATGGTAAAAAAGAGCATCAAGATATATCATGTACAGGTAAAAATTCCCTGTGATGAATGTGCTCATTATGGACAAGTGTTTCAACCTCTTTCTGCCTCAGTGTCCTCATCCGCAAAACAGAAATAGCAAAAGCACATGCCTCATGAGGTTGCCTTGATGTATACAGGTGGCAATACACATTATTTGGTCATTGCCTGGCATGAAATAAGAATCAAATATATCTTTGTAGTATTACTTTCTACCAGTTCTTGAAATCACGAATGGAACTAAGTTAAACAGTGATTTGGTGGGCAATACTCAAAATTAACTAAAGCTACCATTAATATGGTTTTCATTACCAAGTTAGTGGTTTCCAAAGCAGAATCTGTGCAGTGCTTCCTTGGTACCATGTCCCAAAACAGGCAAAGCGTTAGGAAGCAGATCTTCTCATCATTTGCATGTCCAGTACAAGAGCTAAGAATTCGGAGATAAACAAATGCAATGAATTTGAAAATGATCTGCCAACTGCTTCCACCTGTGATGTGAATAGTGGGAGCTATCAAGGATCCATCCCTCAAATGCTAGGAAGACATTTTCCTGCAGAATCCAGAGAGGAGCAACAACTCAAGATGGCTAAACCCAGCAACTCTTCAGAACATGAACTGTCATCATCTGTCATCATCTTAACTTTTATAATCATAGGCACTGAAAGCTTTGTTGGTATCATCGTAAACAGTTTCATCATGGCTATAAATGTGACTGTATGGGTTCAGAAAAAGGCCATTTCCACCAGTGGACAGATCCTCCTTTTCCTGAGTGCTTCCAGAATAGCCCTTCAAAGCTTCATGGTGCTAGACATTATCTCAGTCTGCACATTCCCAGATTCTTATTTCAAATGTGTCTTCAATTACACATTCAGAGTATGTTTCATGTTCTTAAACTGCTGTGGCCTCTGGTTCGCTGCTGTGCTCAGTTTCTATTACTTTGTGAAGATCTCCAACTTCTCCTGTCCACTTCTCCTCAAGCTGAAGTGGAGAATTTCTGGATTGATTCCCTGGTTCCTGTGGCTGTCAGTGCTTATTTCCTTCAGCATCAGCATGTCCTTCCCCAAAATTGTCTGCACTGTGAGCTATAACAGCTCTTTTACTTTCCACTACTCCAACTACACAAAGACTGGTATGGTCACTCTGGCTATTTTCTTTAACCTGGGGATCTTCATTCCACTGGCGATTTTCATCGTGACTGCCACTCTGCTGATCATCTCTCTCAAGAGACACACCCTACAGATGAAAAACAGTGCCACTGGCTACAGGGACCCTAGTACCGTGGCTCATGTGGAGGCCATCAAAGCAATCAGCTACTTTCTCATCCTCTACATTTTCAATGCGGTTGCCCTGTTTCTCTTGCTGTCCTCCGTCTTTCCTCACGGTTTTCTCTGGACTGTTTCGCTCAAAATCATCATAGCTGCCTATCCAGCTGGCCACTCAATTCTACTGATTCAGGACAACCCTGGGTTAAGAAGAGCTTGGAAGCAGCTTCAACCTCAAATTCATCTTTGTCCAAAAGAGTAGACTGTGAGATGAGTACCTGAAGAGGACCACAGGATCTGGGACAACAAGCCCTGCCCTTCCTTCAAGTAGACCCATCTTCCTTCCTTTCTTCTTCAAACTTGGTCAGATCCCTTTACCTGGTGTGAGTTTTTTGTATAGGAGGTTGTCCTTCATTTTTGCTTTGCTTCATGGGCACAATCCTACTGATGTTTCATGTATTTTTTTTTTTTTTGCCTGAGCTGTGTCTACCTTCTCTTGCTCTATCTATAGCTGTGATTCTAGATAATGACTCTATATTAAAATGTCTACAGTAGCCTTTTGAAGACATGAATGTCTAAACCCAGCCTTGGACCTTCTAGTCACTTAAATCATAATTTCTGTATTGGAACTTAGACAACTTCCTGAAGTCTCCAGGTAATTCTGACGTGCAGCCAGCATTGACACAGCCACCAAAATAGAAGGTTCTGAAGCTTTAGATCCTGAAAACTCTACTCTTCCCCTTCCACACACATTTTAAGCACATTCAAAATGATATATAGTAAGCATAAAAGGAGATAGACTTTCTGTAGATGGGAAAGAAATCAAGAGATGGAGTGAGGGGAAGGGGACATAAAAAGTATTGAGATGTGTTATGTACATGTATGAACTCCCCACGATCAATGTAATCATTATGTTTTGCAAACATATATTCAAAAATAAAAAAGAAGAGAAACAATAAAGCTGGAGATATCTCCGAGTATTATTCTCCTAAAGTTTCTTGCAAAAAAAAAAAAAAAAAGCTAGGCCAGGCATTGTGGTGAATGGCTGTAATCCCAGCATGGGGGAGGCTAAGGCAAGAGAATCTCGAGTTCAAGGCCAGCCTGGGCTATGTAGTGAGTTCAAGACCAGTCAGAACTACATAGCAAAACTGTGTCTCAAAAAAGGGAAAATAAATAACTTGGAAATATCTCTCAAGATCAACAATACATAAAATATCTTTCAACTTTAAAAAATTTCTCTCTAACAATTTTCCTACATTCATGATGGTATAAATTTATACATATGTGAAAATATTTGAAGAACCTTATTAGGAATTTGTTTATTAATGAAAAGGCTAAGGGAAATATTAAGCTAGGTGTGGAGCTACTCACCTGTAATCCCAGAACTCAGGAGGCTGAGGCAAGAGGATTGCTGTGAGTTCAAGGCCAGTCTGGACTACATAGCAACACCTTGTCTCAAAAAAATAAGCCAAAAAAATGAAATGAAATATTACATTGACATTTTTAAAAGAGAGAAATGGATGTATAGATTTTAAAATATATAATATGTTAAGTGTAAAAAATAAGAAGGTATTTTATTAATCCATTTATGTTTCTGCTTTTACAGAATATTTATTTGTATGTATCTATATACATGTATAAAATTTCTGGAATAAGGAATCAAAAATTATTGGGAGGACTTCTAACTAGTGTCATTGAGTATTTGGGATATACAAAACATTTGTTCTTTATTGTATGCCTTTCTGCATCATTTGAGCTATTCAGAACATATAAGAACTAATATAAATTTTAAGAAATTTATATTATTTTTTAATGAGAAAGAGAATTAGGTAAGTAGAAAAGATGTGTGTGAGGTTACTGTGCACCTTAGTTAATTAACTGAGTCTGCTGTTGGTTTCTATTTTTAAAATGCAATCATCTGAAATCACAAATTAAATATCTCACTCTCTTATCACTACTCTTCGTTTTCCCATTTTATCTACTCCAAGGCTGATATGGAAAAATCACAGAGTAGGAATTCATTTGCACCTCTGTATTCTCTACCCTTCTATCGGGACTCTCTTCACTTTTTTACATATTCTGCTTAGATTAGGCCCGCCTCTCAAAAACTGCTTTCAGTATTTAAAGGCAAAATGAGTTATATCAGAAATTTTCTTGGAAATAATTCAAAAGAGGAAGATGAAACGAAGTGGGGACACTCGGACAAATCACATGTTGATGATTTTTTTCACAAAAGGTTTCATGTACATGCAAGTTGTTTATACTGTCTTTACTATCACAGGATGTTTGCAACTTTTACTCATATAATTTTTATATAAATGAATCACACTATACTCTAATTCCTGGTCCTTTTCCCTCTTTAACTCCACAGTGTCGAATAACTTTACTTCTAGATGAACTTGGCCAACACTGTGTTTGCTTCTAAGCCTCTGAGTGCTACTTGACAGCATTTCATAACTGGATAAACTTAGGTTTCTGTGGATTCATACAATCAGCCCATCTGAACAACATCATGAGCACTTCTATCCTGTATTTCCCTAGAGAAACCACTCATTAACTGCCTAAAATGCGTAACTCACATCTTTTCCTCAGTCCTCACATTCAAATCTCTTTCCTCCTGCCTCATTTTCTACTGATTAAATTCCTAAATTCTTTGACAGATAGTCCTTCATTTTCTCATCCATAAACTTACAAAACCACCAATTTTATCCTACATTTCCAATTATTTTTATAAGAAATAAAGGAGTGCCACTCAACATTGGTGTTTATTTGTTTGTTGTTTTTTAAGATAGGGTTTTGCTATGTAGTTTAGGCTTGTCTGGAATTCACTATGTAGCCCAGGATGCCCTTGAATTCATACCGATCTCAGTCAGCTTCCTGAGGGCTGAGATTATGGACATGTACCACCGACCCCATCTGATTCTATTTAATTCCCTCCCTTATACTCCTTTTTCCTGCAGGTCCCAGTTTTCTATGTATTTCAGTTTCTTTTATCTTAAGATTGAGCTTTTCCTCAAGTATTTGGTCATCCTTGAATGTTGATACTAAGAATTTGATTACAAAATGTGAAAATTAATGTTTTAGAATTTTTTGAAATGAAAAATTACATTGAAGGCTTGGGACCCTCAGTGAACCACTCAGGAGGGGAGAAACAGTGCCCACCACCATGCCACACCATCACAGGAGGCATGGTGAGCCTCAGGAGCTTCAGTGAGGGGATGAATCCCACCCACCACCCCTCAGCCATTCAAGTAGCCTCTGTATGGAGGAACCAGTTGCCTGGCCCATACTCCTATACTGCAGGGTGGGCAGCCAGCATGGGAAGCACTTGGGACATGGCAACCATCTCGTCTGAAGAAACCCAGGGTAAATCCACTCTAACAAGGGGAAACTCTTTGCATACACATGCCTAATTTATGATTTGTTATATAACTATACACTTGGATCCTATGGTCTAAAGTACAAAATCAATAGTTACCATAGTTTGCCACTTTCTAAATTATGCTTCTTGCTAATTGTACTACTGTAGCTAGGATGTTATGTCTGTTGGATGACAATCAGTTGCTCTCCCTTGTTTAGCAATATTGGGAAGCTCTAGAGTAATAACCTCACTGCAGCTCTACACCAAAAGACTGGGGACTGAGCTAAACAGAAAAAAACATCCCACTGGCAATTAATTAAGAAGGTAGGATCTTGGGACAGAAACAAACCAAAAATTTCCTACACAAGATACCCCTAAAATACAGACTATACCTGGAGAGGCCATGATACTATTGATATAACTACCTACTACTAAAATTAATAAGGATCACCACAGAAAACAAATAAAAATGCTTTTGAAGTACAAAATGTCAAAACAAAGGAACAAAATGCAATCTCAGATTTCCAGCCCACTCAGAACAAGTCCAAGAGACACTGACATAGAAGAAATTGGAAGTCACATGCTTGAAATTTCTGAAATGATAGAAACTGAAGTAAAGAAACAACTCCACCAGGCCACAGGAGAAATTAGGTCAGAAATAACCTCTCAGATAAGAGAAATGACAACCATAATGAAAGAATTGCTCATCATATCTAAAGAAGACATAGATTTAAAAAATAGAGAATAGAAAAATGATGGAAACTTTTAATGAACAATATAGGAAAGAATTAGAATTCATGAAACAGATTCAAAAAGATATCCAGGAAATTAAATATTCCATCGGAAGCTGGCAAAACACTGGAATGAAACTGAATATAGACTTTCAGACCTTTAAGACAGTATTGCAGCCAGAGACTGCAAAAGGAAAGAGCTCTTAAAAATAACAAAGACACGGAAATAACAATTCAACAGCTGGAAAATAATGCAAAAAAATATAAGACAGATACATGTCAACAAAGAAGTGGGAGTCAACAAAAATGACATAAAAAGACTATCTGCAGAAGTAATAAAAACAAATTTCCCAAGCACGGGTAAAGAATCTGACATACAGGCAAATAAGGCATATAGAACTCCAGTGAGGCATAACCAGCATAAATCTACACCCAGACATATAATAATCAAGATCCCAGAAATTCAGCACAAGAACAGAATATTCAAAGCTGTTAGAGAAAAGATGACCTATAAAGGAAAGCCCATCAGAATCACATCAGATTTCTCAACACAAACCCTCATATCAAGAAGAGCTTGGAGTGAAGTATTTGAGGTCCTGAAGGAAAACAGCTTCCAACCCAGCTTGATGTACCCTGCAAAACCATCTTTCAAAATCAATGGGAAAATAGGATATTTCCACAACAAATAACAACTGGAAAAATTCATGACCACCAAACCAACCCTAGAAAGAGTACTGAAAGATATTCTAGAAAGAGATACAAATTACAATTCCAAGAACAACAATACAATGGAACCAAGCAGGGCAAGGTATTAATCAGAGGGGAAAAGGAGAGAACTAAGAGCAGGAAAATAACCTGACAAAGATAAGTCAATACATATTACTTATAACCATTAATGTCAATGGCCTCAATTCACCAATCAACAGAAACAGACTGACAGAGTGGACAAAGAAACAAAATTCAACAATATTTTGTATACAAGAAACACATTTAACTCAAAAGGAAATTCATAGATGAAAAATCAAAGATGGAAAACAACACTCCATGTGACAAGAACCCAGAAAAAAATGGGTAGTTATTCTCTTTGCAGACAATGTCAAACCAAGAATGACTAAAAGAGATACAGAAAGTCACTACATACTTGTGAGGAGAAAACTTCAAGAGGAAGAGATAACAA